TTTTTTTTCCCCTACAGGGGGCCGGGGTCCCGGGTGCCGACCCCCGGAACCCCGGAACCCCGGCGGGGTCCCGGGGCCGGGGTTCGACAACCCTGCCGAAAACCACTCTCTCTCTCTCTCTCTCTCTCTCTCTCTCTCTCTCTCCGTCGTGCCTCCGGGATTCCCCCCTCGGCTGCTGATGTGGCAGTGATATCCCTTGGGCCAGTCTTTGCTCCCCCAGTCTGCGCAACAGAGAACGAGCTTGCGCCCGTCGATCAATAGGCGACAAATGTGCCGATGGGGTGCAATGACCTTCCGGGCCAGGTCCAGTCCTCATCCTCACGCGACGACCTGCGTCGTCATCTCCGTCCGCCATCCGGATCCTCGGGACGTAATCGGAGTCATCAGGATCGTCGGCGCCTGTGGTCTCACCACCCTCAGCGGTTGTGGAGCTGTCGTCGTGGATGATGATCGTGCCGCTTCGTCTCTTCTCACCTCGCCCTGATTCGTTCACTCTGTCACCTCCGTCCACCCCGCCCCGTCCATCTGGAGCAGCTGACATCTGTCTGGTCTCATCACTGTTGCGGAAAAAAGGATGCGGTCGGCGCCGGTAATACGGAATCGACGCACCTGTTCCCTTCTTCCTCGCCCGTGATAGCCTCGCAGTAGCCGTCCTGGTGTCGTGGACATCGGTCATCTTGGCCCGCATAGGCCTCCCATGCTGCTCCTCGTAAGCTCTCATGGAATCGTGACAAGTGTCATCGACGTTGCCGATCAATCGCGCCCCCGCGGGCACATCTGTCGGTCCGCACGCTGATGCATGTCCGATATCGCCCGCCCTCCGGTCCATGGCCGCACCGTCATAGAAAGACCTCGTCGGCAATGCGCTCTGCGAGGCCTGCCCGTGGGCGACGGGGTCAGCGGCAAGGGAGCGTAAGGGTGGTGGATACATGATGTCACATATCCCCATCAGATGCGGTCGAGGCTCATCTGTGTGCGCGTTGTCGAGCGACTCCAACCCTACGCCGCCCTTTACTTCTCTTACAAGGGCGCGCTACAAAGTTTCTATTTGTTGGTTTCTACCTGACAGAGGCTCACCGACCACGGGTAAAATGCCACGACAGGTTGACGGAACGAGTGGTCGGGCTACGACATTCAATTCAAACGGGCTCGAGCGTTGAACAACGGTATTTTTTGCGAAGAGGACCTAAGGCGTAAGCTACCGACGAACACAAAGAGGCTACCACAACGGACAACTACCGAGGGGTTGGACGAGAGGGTACGGCCGTGAAAGGTCGAGATGATACAAGAGGCTGGCGAAATGGTCGAGGGAACGGAGACACCGGGCGTTTATCGTGAGGCTACGGGCGTTTTAAGCGGTGACGGTGTCCGAAGTTGCCTCGAGTAACTAGATTCTCGAGGACACCCTGCGTGAATAAGCGGTGGGATCGGGCCTACATCTGGGCCTCGACACTAAGAGGAGAACGGTGCGGGTCTAGGGTTCGGAGATGGGCCTCCCGACCTAGAGTTTTGGGAGGGCCCGCGTGACTTTTGCAATGGAGGCTGGTACCACTTATGAGTGGGGACCACCAAGGCCGAGATAGGCCCGGGACAGTTTCGGAAATAGGACTGGTATCGGGGCGTTGCAAAAGGCCCGGTTCCCGACAAAAAGGCCCTCCTCGACAAAAACCTTTCGAGGGCCCAGGTAGGCTCGGGCATAGGTTCGGTATCGAGGCGCTGCAACTTGTGGCAGCCTCCGGAATGTGGGAGAGACAGGGGGAGAGAAGGGCCCAACAAAGTATAAAAACTGAACGGGGCCTTTAGTTGGGGTAGTTCTCGCATGGGGGAATTGAGGCGCATGACACTGGCGCACGAGGGAGGCAGGCACGCACGAGACTTCGCACGTGCACGAGCGGAGGGCACTTCTCGTGTACACGGTATGGGCACGGGGGACAAGAACACGCACGGGAGAAGGGCAAACGACAACATGCACAGGAGAAGGACGAATTGCAGCACGCATGGGGGGGCGAACGGGCTGCAACGCTCACACGAGGACGCGCACCTGAACACCCACACGCTTGTGCACGAACGAGGAGAAGCCATGGAAGAGAGTGCGCGTGCCTGCGCGACAGCGAGTTAACGCGGGTAGACGAAGGGGAAGCCGCGCTAGGGAGCTCGCGCACCGGGTTTCCGCGCACCCGCGCGAATGTACAGAGAGGAGCCGTGCGCCTGAACGCTTGCGCACTAACGTATACGAGTTGTAGGAGGTCGCGCGCGGAAGCCGCCTACCTGCTCACTCGAGCGCTCGCGCAGACGAGCAGAGACACCTTCGCACAAGTGTGTCTGTGCGCGCGGACAGCAGGGAAGAACCGCACCATCGCACATACAGAGATGCAGAAGAAAGGAAGGACTACGTGCGCCATCGCCCGCACGGAAGAACCGAACAGCGGGAAGAGATCTGCGCGCTATCGCTCGCGCGGGAGAGCCGAGTAGCGGTGGCGACTGAAACGAGCGGGAACATCCCGCGGCAGCACCTGAAACCAGTGGGAACACACGGGGAAGCGTGCTACACTGCGCACACCTCGGGGCAGCGGGAACACACGGGGAGGCGCGCTCCACATTGCGCACACCGCGGGCCAGCGGGATCACACGGAGAAGCCCGTGCTACATTGCGCACACCCGCGGTTCGCCGGACCACACAAGGAAGCGCGCGTGAGACACTGCGCACACCCGCGGACCAGCGCGAGCACACGGGGAAGGGTGCGCGGCACTGTGCACACCTGCGTACAAGGGGGGATTGGCAGGTTGAAACGCTGCTCGCCACGACGCAAGCATCTGCGCACTCGTGGGGACACTAGCATGCATTCACGCGCTGCGTGCGCACAATGGGTCAGATAGGGGGATAGAGCCGCGCGCAAGGGCACGCCCGCACGCTGCAGATAGGGGCGCGGGGAACGATGCGCGAGTTAGCCACACCCAGGTACAACGAACTGGTTCTTCGGGTGTGGACAGATCACTGAAAGGAGGTGACTTTCGGGGCTCACTCGGGATCATCGGACGAAGCAGCACTTTACGAAGGGGCGCACTCAAAGCGGCCACCTTTACCGGGCGGGCGCTTTACCGAAGGGGTATTTGGCGGAAGAACACTCTAATCCAAAGGGCGTTATACCGGAAGGGCATTTTACCGGAAGGGCATCTTACCGGAGTGACACTCTACGGAAGGGGCGCTTTTTGAACGGACACCATTACCGAGCGGGCATTTTACAGAGAGGTCACCTTTACCGAGCGGACATTTCACCGAGTGAACACTTCTCCGAGCGAGTACTTTACCGAAAGGTACGAATGAGAAGCGGGCTATCTAAGGGGTACATCCGCGAAGAGGTGCGGTTGTGAACTGGGCTTTCTAAGAGGTACGACCGTGAGGTGGGCTTTTCAAGGGGTATGTTCGTGAAGAGGTACGACCGTTAAGTGGGCTTTTCAAGGGGTATGTTCGCGAAGAGGTACAACCGTGAAGTGGGTTTTCCAAGGGGTATGTTTGTGAAGAGGTACGACCGTGAAGTGGGCTTTCGAACGGGTACTTTGACTTTTAAGCCCTTTTACATTCCTACGACAGTCTAGTGATTCAGGCGGGCCTATCCGAGCTTTGTTGGCTTCGAATAGGCACGAGTCCGAACCGGGCTTTCGAAGGGGTACTTTGACTTTTGAGCCCTTCGACATTCCTACGGCGGCCTAGTAACTCAGGCGGGCCTATCCGAGCTTTGTTGGGACCGAAGAGGCACGAGTCCGAACCGGGCCTTTAAAGGGGTACTTCGTGATTCGGGAATTCCGAGGGGTTTACGGCGGTCTGGGGGCGCTGGCTGGCCATCTTGAGGCTCGAGGACGCCGGAAGGGCACAATTCTGAACCGGGCCTTTGAAAAGGTACTTCCACCAACGGGCCTCAGGAGCGTAGTTTTATCGAATCGGGTTCCCAGCGAGGCAAGGTCTCGACCGAGATTGAGCTATGGCCTCGATGGGCGAGGGAGGAGACGTCTGACACAGAGAGTTCGAGCACCATCCCGTGGGACAAGCGTGCGAGGTATCGGCGAGCCCCCGTGAGGGGGAGAGTTAGGTGGAGGTTATCCACGCGTTCAGTAGGCACTCAACCAGACCCCACGCACATAGACAGGGGCACTTCACTTGAGATCGGGAACTGTGCAGAGCACCTTATTGTACTTGACTGAATGGAGACTCTGATATTGTTCTTTTTCCTGCCTACTCTTTGAGACTTGCATCACATGGCTACAATTCAGTCTGTGCAGCGCTTTGTCTTGGATGTGTACTGACGTGACTTGTGCAGGTTCCAGGAGCCCCAACCAACCCTCCCGTGGGTGACAGACGCGGCGTGAGTCATAGGGTTTGTGTTGGAGGCCGGCATAACTCTTCTACTGGTCGACAGTGGCGCCGTTGCCGGGGAAGGCTGCCTCTCGGGACTTCGGTCCGTCTGTAACCACGGGTACGTGAGAGGACAAGACTGCGACGGAGACCAGTACACGCTACGAGCGATCAACCTACTGGTGCTTAGCAGACGACGAGATACCGGGCGGTGCGACACTTTGTCAGCTTGCGATCGATCCGGTAAGATTGTGGTTTTTCGCATTTTGTGATTTCGTCTTGCATTTCCTTTCTATTATTTCCTTGTGATTGAGAGAGGTCTTTCTGAATTTTCCACCCATTTGTCAGTCCACCCTGATATCGATTCCTAGAGAGAAAATTGCAAGCAGGGGAAGAATTTAAAGGGTATGAAGGGGAGGGGAGAAGCGCCCCGGATTGCAAGGAGTGGGAACGGGATCAGACAGGCTAGTGGATTATGATGGATAGCTGGGGGGATTGATACACTGCACGTGTCGGAGAGAGACCATGCCTGAGGTGGGAACGAATAGAGGCCTGGATAGGAGTGAGGAGGCACGAGTGAGATACCGTCTTCTTATCCGCGTGTGACTTCGGTCCACCCTCGAGCACATGAGTTGGCCAGCTCGTGTTCAGGTCGCGGTAAGAGAGGTAGGTCAGCGATGATGGTACACTGATCCGACCTCTTCCTTGACACGAGGGTAGGGGGAGATACGCCAGAGGGCGGTTCTCTCCTAGGCCTGTTGACGTCTTGGAGGGTTCCAGGAAGGATCAGAGGGGGTCTGTCGTGGGGGTCAGTGAGCTCAACAGTCCGAGAGTCGCACAGGAAGAGATTTATTGAGGGTTTCCCTTGGTTTCTTGATTAGGAATGGTACATATCGAGTCGGCTTCTCAAATATCCTTGGTCGGGGAGAGGGGCTCTTGCGACGTGATCAGTTTGCCGCTAGAAGGGAAGAGCAAATACAGACCTACCAGAAAATAGAGGCTGAAACCAGGGCCTGTGCCAGGAGAGACAGGGAGGCAGCGCCTTTACGAACAGATGTGAGCGTGAGGCTGTACTTGTCGGGGAGAGAGTGAGAGTGTCTCGTGATAGATACTGTCAGGCGTTATCCAACCCTCCTCTGTTTGGCAGCGTTAGGTCGGAGGTTTGGTGCCCGGATCTTTAGAGAGTTCGCTCAGGGGAGTGGAGTAAATACCGTTGCAGTCTACACTGTGAGGTTTGCATATGATTGGGAGCTTCCTAGAGCGACCTCTGTGAGGTCGGAGACGGTCCCTAGGTTTTGACGGGGCTGATTTTCGGTACCAGAGTGGTGCACCAGAGACTTTTAACGGTAGTACAGAGAGCGGTCCGACTGGGGACGTCGACTGTCGAGCTTGCGTGTCTCCTTACTTATTGCTTGGACAGGCCAGTTCCCACTCGTAGAGAGCTACGCCGTATTGTATTCCGCATCCGGGAGGAGCTGCGGGAGGCCGAGATAAGTGGAGAGGTAGATAGGGCCCGGATACTGAACGGAAGGGCAGACGACGCCTAGATGTCTCACTGTAGGGTCGAGCACCCGGTAAAATTGGGACAGTTTGGATATAGAGAGCCGAAATTCGTGGACCAAGATTGGGTAGAGTTTACATTACCAGGTAGATTGACTTTGGTGGCAGGGGTCTGCAGAGTGGATAGGCCCTGGAGGTCAATACTGTTGCGGCCGGGCATTTGGTTGTTGGTGGTGCCGCTTGTGACTTTCGATAGGGATAGACGAGGGAGAGTGGTTCAGGTATCGGTGGACTTGGCGGTTAAGGGTTTCCTCTACTACCAAACGTCGGAACTCTCGGAAATCATTCGTAAGGCAGTGGATCAAGGCACGCGCGATAAGAACTTTGGGGTAATACCTAGTCTTGATCAGTATACGTGGGAGGACGAAACTCCCGCTATAGACATACTTCATGAGGTGGTGGACAGATACCGGGAGGAGGAGCTCCGCTTAAGAGGAGCGTTTAGATCAGTCACGGTGTCCCTCCGTCTAGCCCGGGGAGGGTTTTTACCACACTCGGAGGAGGCATTGAGGCTCCCCATTCCGCTATTTGTCTTGGAGGAGTATCTTGGAGGGCTTGACCGGTTGGTCCAGGTACACCTATGTTTTCTAGAATCCAGGATCTGCTACACAGTGGTGACGAACACCACGCCTATTACGCTCTCTGGAAGGAGGGGCCCCGGTTTGGCAATGAAGGTCTAGAACTAGTTGAGCTGATTAGAGTAGCTTCACCTCGGAGCTTGAGGCGAGCACCTGACCAGGACCAACCGGTTGAATTTTGGGCTACCTTCGAGAGGGGTATACGGGAGCCACCTAGTCATCTAACGGGGTTGGCAGAGCTGTTTAGTGGGAGGGGGTTCGACCCATCGGTTAGGGAGGCGTCTGTCCTGGGGTTCTTCGAGCTGCGCTAGCTGCGCTCGTATTATAGGCGAGTCGGGGACTGGGACGAGGATGAGGAAGAGGAGCAGGGACGTGCGAGTCGGGAATGAGAAGACGATAGAAGATGGGAAATGGCTGGTTACTGCCCTAGGGTTACGACTGCCCTGGACGCTTTAGTCCCCTTTACTAGCGGGGGGGGCTTCCCTTACAAAATAGAGAGCTGTATATCTCTAAAAGAAAGTCATGCTCCGGGGAAAACTTATGTCTTGGTAATAAAGCACCTCGACATGGGAGGATACGACATCCGCCCACACGTGTCGCTGCTAAGGGAGAGAGGGACGGATCGCGAGTCGCTTAAGAACTGGATTAGAGACATAATCAGTAAGGAAAGGAGGGAGTTAGAAAAGAAGGGGAAAGAGGTGCTTAGTGAGGTGAACCCCGTGTTGTTTTACGATATTCCCGAACCTAATCTACCCGACAGTTTTACAGACGGCAGGAACTGGGAACCTGTAATTAATATGGCGCTCAAAGCAAGGAGTTGGGGTCAGTGAGGATGCCGGGTCTTAGGGAACAGTTCTCCTTCGAGGTCGTAGTAGAAGGGAGAATGGTAAAGGTTGAGGGGACCCTCCGAATTCCTAATATAGATCTCTTTGGGTTTGAAGAGCTTGAGCTCATACAACCTTATCTGGATCGTATGAGGGAGTCGACTTTGAGGGTAATTACCAACCAAACCGAGATCAGTTATCTACTGAAGGTGGAAAGACTAGGGACCTCCGGGAGGAAATACTATCGTCTGGTCAGGGAACGAGTCCGGTTGTGTTAGTCGGGCGTGGCAAAAATGTTGAGCCATGAACGAGTAAGGCATAACAAGTCTGCCGAGAAACTTGAGGAGTGAGATAACAAGATTATCGCTGGGAACCGACCGCCGCAGGAGAAGTTTGATGCGGTGTGTGCATCCTTGAGTACCCTAGGAAGAAGGGAGAACTTTCTGTATGAGGTGGAAGCCTATGAGATGGTCGACAACACATGGGAACTAAGCCTCCTCTATGTTATGACCGCGCGCTTCCTAGGGACTGAGGTAAGAGACGTAGGCATTTACTTACCAACGGAGAGGTCAGAACATTTAGTGTATGGGCGTTGCTGGCAAAGAGCGAGAGAAGTGGTGGAGGACGAGAAGGATAGGCTCCTTTCCGTTTCCTTAAGGAAAGGAAAGAAGTCGCTTGGAGTACCGAAATCAGGATCTTTGAAGGCTTACCTAGGCCGCGAATTCCTTACGAAGCATTGATAGGGATCGGTCGGGGTCTAATAGTTGATTTTATAAATCGGCACCATAACCCGAATGACCAGAGGGGACGAGAACAGTTAGCCTGGGCGGGATAAATCAAGCGAACTTAGACAGCATGACTGTGATAGGTGGAGGTCCCAAGAGTTGCTCAGACTTTTGATGGGATGGACCCAAGAGGACTTGCGTACTCTAGGCGCATCGATCTGTAGGAGAGTTCGATTTGATGCAACAGGGTTGATAGAGATTAGGAGAGGAAGTTCTTGCCTACGAGATCAAGAAGGGGAGCTCTATCTTGACACAGGCCTATTCGGAGTAGAAGGTGAGCACGAGATAAGAGATGACAGGGGAAGATTGATTGGAGTCGTGAGGGCAGTGAAGAATTAGTGCAAGGGAGACCAAGACGGAGAATGCTTCCAAGACCAAGAGCAGGATTAGAAGCCATGCTAGAGGAGGTGACCAAGGATGAGGAGGTGTAGGGGACTAGATGAGGGGAAGTCGAGGAAGTTGGTCCGTTCCCTTAACTCTATATCGAAGAGGGTAGTGATCCCTTATGAGATCGTGAGATATGAAGGTCTAAAGAGTCAAGGGTGGGGGTTAGATGGTATGTATGTTCTCACTTACTACCTTACCGAGCTTGATGAGTATGACGTTGGGATATACGTGCCGCAACATAGGTTTAAAGAAGACGAAAAAAAGCGATGTTGGCAACGGGCGTCGAACATAGTGCATGACGAGAAGAGAAGACTCCAACGACTAAGGGCGGATTTCTCCTCGAGTACCTACGTTAGGCCTTTCATTGGAATACCGTCGCCTCCAGTTGAAGGGCTTACGCTCGCTAACAATGAATGGTCAGCCGTAATAGACCTCGTATGGAAGGTTAAGAGGGCACAAGACGAACTCAATGATGCYGGGAGCAGTAAYYGAASAGGAAGAGGTGAATCGAGTGTCATTCGCTGRYAGAGTGRCMTYAGTCAYCAGAATTCRGTCWACCAGGTCTCTAGACGAACRKGGTKGTAGACAACTTGCCCAAGGGGCAATTGAGAGGGAGAGACCTAGGGTTCTGGAGCTAGTGAGAGCAGAGAGAAGGATAACCTATGATGTGATGGTCTGGTCCCAAGGATGACTGAGGTACGAAGTGGAGAAGGATGAGACAGTCCAAGAAGCAGAATCCCGCGTGTGAGAGGAAGTGACGAGAAGGTTAACTCGTTACTAGAAAACATACTCGTACCCGATAAACGATAAGATAGTACAGTTAGTGGACGGGTTTAAGGAGTGAAGCGGCTCTACGAATGTGCAAGAATTACGGGCGCTCGAACAGAAGGTTGAAGAGTTGGCCTTAACCTATAAGGAGGAAAGGGAAAAGATAATAAACTGGAGGGAGGAGTTTCTAGCAAGGAGGATAAGAGAGATCCGTAGAGAAAACGAAGGGAGGAGGAATGGCTAGTACCGGAGGCGAGACCAGGAAGTATCAGCTAGTCGGGAGAGCAAAAATTGAAGGGTCCCTTGTGCGAGCTAGGGTAGAAGTGATACAATATGAAAGGCTGAGTCAGGAGGAAGAAGTTGAGGCAACTAGAAAAGCAATTAAAGAAGCTATAATCTGCGTTATCTGGAAGGCGGCGGACGAACTCCGATCGGCAAAGATTGAGATGTGTACGACGCAATTTGAAGTAGAGCAACTTTTCAGGGAATGAAGAGAGACTATAGTGTAGGCAAAGACTAGACTAAGGGAGGACGTTCGCAAGCCTGAAGAGTTTTCCAACGATGTGATTGACGTAGTTTCCCTAAGAACCTTGGAGGCTAACTTGCGTTATACGAAGGCTCTGTTGACCACTGCTTTGGTAATCAGGGCGGAAAGACAAGACACTGACTTCGAAGAGTTGCTATAATTGTTGGACGAATCTACTGAAAGGATCCTAGTCGTTTTAAGGAGTGTGGCCGAAAGTCAGACAGGGTGTTCAAGGATTAGTTAGGAAGGATGGACGGAGAAGGAGCTTATCTAACCTCGATAGGGGGTGAAGTGAAAACACAGGAATCGAGAACGAATAGTCCAGACAGAAAAATGAGCGTCGACGTGGACAATGACGCGGAGAGAATAAGGAGGGTCTTAAGAGAACTAGATACTCGTGTCAAGGAGTCGGAGGGACGGAGCTCTAGGAGCGAAGGCTGGAGGAAAGAAGCTTTGAGCAGGACAAAGATGACAAGGTTTGTGGATCCTGGGGTAAGAGAACGTCATAGAGAGGTCGCGAGTGAGCCTTACAGGAGGGACCCTTATTCCATGGGGTATGCGCCAGACACTTATGTGTCTCCCTTCCTAGGGGCCCCAGCGTTACAATCTCCCGGACTGGCTGAGATTCAGACAATCTTTACAGGGAAGAATGTCACGGAATTCCTAGATGATTGGGAAGTGTTAGGAATGCGAGCAGAATGAAGTGATCAAGATATGATAGTGAACTTCCTCCACCATACAACCCTAAAGATAGACCGTGAAGTGAGAGACACCATCCCAGATAATTGGCGCTGGTTGACGTTCAAGGAGAGAGTTGCCCGAGTCTTCATATGTGACGAGACCTCTTACTCAATAGACGACTTAAAAAGGATGAAGAAGCAAGAAGATGAGAGTCTAGTGGCGTTTGCGAGGAGATACGAGAAGGCGTCTAATCCCCTCGTAGAAGGAGGGTTTATGGGGAAGATGGAGCGATGCGGGATATTTTTAGAGTCCTTATCTCGAGAGAAACGTGATAAGATCATGAGGGATCTTCCGTCCAGGGTGGTGTTCGGTCAAGTCAAGCTTTTAGTCCACGACACAGAGAGACAAAGCGATAAAGCACACCTCGCAAGGATCCTCGACAAACTAGGGAAGGAAGTAACTGCGGACAATGGGGGAGGAAGGCCTCAGTATGAGGATAGAAGACCCCGAATTGAAGGAAGAGATGTCAGCACAGGCTCGCCTAGGAGGGGGGAGTCGATCAGAGGCGATAGCGATTGGAAGAAAGAAGGAAGAGGAGATTGGAAAAGGAACGACGGAGAATGGGAGACTTCTTCCAAGTGGTCCAACATTAAAGATAACCGGTGGAAGCCGAAGAAAGAGATAGAGGTTAGGAGGTCTGAAAGACGAGAGGAGGAGATGGAGAAGCAGATAGAAGTTCTGAAGGCTGCGGTGGAGAAGTTACAAAGTAGTAATCAAAGAAAGGAAGAGACCCCGACTCGAGCCGCTCCCCGAACGGAGAATCGCGGGGACCCTAGTCCGAAGCGGACTTGGAATAGTAACGCCTGTATCTACTGTGGGGATGAGGACCACCAAAAGAGAGACTGTCGTGCGTTGATGGAAGCCCTGACGGAAGGCATCATCGAGTTGGATGATCGAAAGTATGTGATGTGGACGGATGAAGGAAAGCCAGTACCCTTCTTACCCTCGATGAAGATCAATGTAGATATCAGGAGACGAAGGATGAATGAGGCAAAGGGGAAACAAAAACAAGAGTCATCGGCAGCGAAGGTTTCCCGAGTAACATTTGAGGAGGATCTTGAAGAGCTACCGGAAAGTCATGGGATGACGATTTCTTCTATTAAGTTTGAAGATACAGAGGATAATGGTAAAGTTTACATTTGCACTCAGGGTGTTGGCGAATCAAGTAAAGGAAAGAAAAAAGACCAAGACCAACCAATGATGGATGAGCAAGTGGAGTCGCCCAAGTCACCTCAGTCTCATAGAAAAAGAGGGGCCAAAAAGTTTCACTTAAAAAGTTCACTGGATGAGGTAGATTTGAGGGAGCCGTTAAGGAGGGCTATGGATATGCCCATTCCTATTACCTTGAAAGAATTCATAGCCAGTTGTGGACCAGCGCAAGATGAGCTAATAGGAATGATGAAGAAGGCTAAGGTACCACTAGCGGAGACTGCGGCTTCAAGCGAGCCAAAGATAGAAACGAAGACATCCGTTCTAGCGGCAGAGAAAGGAGGAGTAGAGCATGTAGAAACCAATGATGGTGGAGGTGATTATTTCTATGTTCTTGGTAGTGGGAAGTTGAACGCCACCATCAATGGGATAAGGATGGAAGCTATAGTAGACGACGGTGTCGGGCGCATCGGTTCGGCACCACACGCGGCAGCAATGGACCCTCTCGGCCGCGTCACGTAGGAGTTGGACCAACCTTGCCGCGAACACACAAATGGAGCTTCCTTAGGCCGCTCCGGCCGAGTGCGCCAGCCATACCTCTCGCGAGCCCCTACGGCAGGATAGGGCTTACGCGAGGCACAACTTACCTCCACCTTACGGGAGTTGTCACCTCTCTTCGATGGGCGTATCCCCGCCGAGCTATTAGTCCACAGTACGAAAGCTACTCAGTTGCAATCGCAGAGGTGGACCGGCCGAGGGCGTTTCTCGTTCGCTGTAGCATAGGGGGTACGCGCGGTAATACGCCTATCGGACCCGCACGCGAACCGACATCTTGGGGGGTTGAAGTCCCAAGCGCGGCCCGTAGTCGGTCGACTAGGACGCATCCCAGACACCATGCGCACACCACTTTACGAACACAAAAATAAAACCCACACACGCACGTACAACACGACACAACACAAACAACGCGACAATGCCCCTAGTCCCTCGGTAGCCAACCCATAACTTTCCGATGCGGAAATCGAATAGGCGTCGCACGGGAGACTCGGTATAAAACCGCGTGGACGCAGGGCTAACTCATGTCGACTCGCAATGCAAGCGTACGCAAGCGATCGCAGTGATGGCGTACTATGTAGTACCCATACTCACGCGATCCTCGTTAATCTCGAGGGTCGCATTCGAAACTCAAGTGTCGGCTGACACGCGCCTTGAGGGTTAATCTCTCGACGCTGGACAACCGCCATGCGCGTTTGAAGACCACACACCCTCTTCACTCTGTGCACAGTGGGTGGTACACAGGTCCATACCTGTGGTGGCAATCGCTTCTTACTGCCCTCGAGATGAGTCTCACTCCGGGCCTGGGCGAAAGTTAAGGGGTTCGACTTTGACGGCTGCCACGGACTACAACGTCCAACCATACAAAATCTAAAAAGTAAGGGGATAAAAGGGGATCTTCCTTTTCTCTCAAACCCATAATCTGTTTAACCCTTACGCGCGGTCACAATAAGCTGCGCGCACGCCCAAGGCACATATAAATATATACATAAGGCTTATTTATATAGGACGATCACTTCTCATAGTCACGGTGGGACTCCTCTCAAACATATATGTATGTAATCGCAGGCAGTCACATCCAGAAGCCGAACCACAACCATACCTACAATCACATCAAAGATTCATCCAAAAGTCCACGCACTACACGGGGTCAACTTCAACCATTCCTTGCACTCATACCCCTCGCTTTAGCCATACAAGCCTCACTCGTGCAACTCTTAAATAAATACTCATTACTTTTGTTGGATGGCCATTCAATAAAGTCCGGGTGAAAACACAACAAAACAGTTCAATCACAAGGCTAAAGCCTTTAGGTTGAGTGGCAGGAGTGAATTGGAGTTGAATCGTAAACCGACGAATCAACAACTAACCTGTTATCAGTGATAACATAAGGTGATCCTCGTAGGATCAAGCTGAATCTAGTCCAGGTCCTAAATCAAACGGTCAAGTGGACCTGTAACACAAGACAGGTCAATCCCCAGACTAAAAGTCCATGGAGAATAGAACTCCAAAACACATTCTCACTCAAGAGTATCTGCCAACCAAGTCTAAGCCAGTGCCCAAAGCAAAGGTAGACTAATGGCAGGATCTCCCCTATTCAGGGTGGATTGCCAGAATCGCCACCTGTCAAAATATAATCTAACTCCTATAAATCAAGAAAATTTCGGCAGCGCTTCCCGTAGGAAAAGTGTCTTCTCATAATTTACATCAGCCCAAATATGAAGCCAAAATTAATCTTTGACTTTCCAAAGTCCAATTTTGTCTAACTCCTTGAATTAACAAAAATTTGGGCAGCACTTTCTTTAGGAAAGGAGACTTTCCAGATTTTTACTAAGTCATGTATGAACTTTAGACAAGCTGAACTTTGGTAAGTCAAAATTTGACTAACTCCTTGTATTTGCAGAAATTTCGGCAGCGCTTCCCGTAGAGAAAGTAGCTTACCAAAATTTATACAAAGCCAAGTATAACAAAAGATCCTATAAAATACAAGAATCGATCGAAGTAAAATAAACTTAGCTCAGAAAATGCAAGAATCGACCTAACTCCTATCGCTCTAGCACGTGGCGAGCCTCTAAAGCAACTACCTGTCAACCTGAAACTCAAACCAAGTAGTAGCCTCACTCAGCCACATGCAATGCCAAACCACAAAGGTAAGTACTCTCGCCACCCCAAGTCAACCTTTGCAAACAATAGTTCGTAATCTCTCGATACTTTATTCCCTTATACCCAGCTTACATAGGGCATAAAGTCAGGCCGTCCAATCTTATGGAACCTGCCTGACTCAGCCATTGAATATACACGAACAGGTTGCACAACTACTTCTCTCTTCCTTTTGGGCATATGACTAAGTCGTTCATCTTAGAACAATAGTATCCAAATTATATATACCTCTCTGAGCTTGGTGTTCAAAAGTCGGGCATAGGACTGAGCCGTTCATCTTAGAACAAGGCCCAGCCTGCCCAGGGTTACCTTAAATTATACTCTTAGTTATACTCTCTTCATTTCGTGATAAGTTATAGCTAGGCCGTCCAATCTTATGGAACCCATGCCTGACTAGCCTGTTCATAAATAGGATAATATAAAATATAGCCAAAATTTAACCTTTTGGGTTCCAGCATGTGCGAGGCATTGGACCAGACCGTCCAATCTTATGGAACACATCTGGTCCTTTACTAGGTTCGTTTCTCTCTGATCCACTGTGTGCGGCATGAGTCCAAGGTCATCCAATCTTATGGACATGCCTTGCCCTCAGCGAGAATTAGTCCCTCAGAATGAAAGAGGAAGGGGCTGAGTCATCCAATCTTATGGACTTGCTCAGGCCCCCTCGATCAAAAACAACAAAAAAAACAAAACAAACCCCAATCAAACATGACAACCAAACCCTCCAATCTTATGGTACAGGTTCGGCCCCTGAAAAGTCAGCCACAGTCAAACCCTCACAATTCAGAGCAATCAGACTGTCCAATCTTATGGAACTGGTCTGACTCTCCATGCAATTCAAAAATAAAACACAGCGATCAGGCCGTCCAATCTTATGGAACTGGTCTGACCCCATAAGACCCTACCAAGCTCAAGCAAAACCACCTTTCACCCACCTTTCCCCCTGATGCAAGCCCCTTTCTGTTCGCAATCTGCCTTCAGGCAATCAACAAAACTGAAACTGAGATTGCAAAGGCATCCCTTTACTTAGTCTGACTTATGTCCTGCCATTCGAACTTAAGTCAAAATAGGGGCGCATGCAACATACTGAGTCAAACATAGCAAGATGTACAGGTAGGGGTTATAACTGGGTTTATAGAGGGGAAGCAACAATCACCGTTCAATTCCCTGCCTCCAGAACTCCTTCTGAGTTCCGGCAGAGTTCCCGCAATCGGTGGGGCGAACCTCCCATAGAGGCCTTGGCGCGGATTACGGGTTGCAATCCCGCCTGCCGCCTTCCTCTCAGAACCAATAGACTAGACTTAGAATGAGAAGGGCAGAAGCAGGAACATTAAGCTTCTCAGATACAAGAGGGGTGCACTCAGACTCGCGGAGAGGGTCTTGGTTCTTTCAGTCGCCTGAGAGCCCCACAATGGCAGCCAGACTGACGAAGCTTGGTCAACCCCCGACGCCAAACTAACCAGGTCACCCTCTACCGACCCCTCAATTTGCAGCATCCACCTTCCTTCCCCGACTCAGTCCAAACGCCGCCTTAGCGCAGGCCGCGATAGCCAACAATCGGTCGGTTGTGGCATGCCGTAATGCCCCACAGTCAACAGTAGGTGATAGCAATGCCTCAGCAATTAGCAACAACTCGCACTCTGTCGACAGGCGACTTCTTCAGGTCACACCTTGACTGCAGTCAACTCGCTTCACCGCTAAGATGCTCGGCGGTTAACATTAAGCCCACAACTTCGCCGCTTACACAACGCCGCTCGGCTTCGGCAGCGAATCCGAAACGCTTATTGAACGAGGGCAGCAGCAAGCAAGACAGTCGCAGGCTGGCCAAGTCCGATGTCCCCCACAGCCGGGTTATACCCATGCGTTCGGCAGTCACTTAGCCATGGACCGGCAACCACTTCCATCTGTACGCACCCTTTCACCGAATCAGGTACGTGTCACGACTCCCCGTCCTCTCCCGCGCCTCACTCCTCTACTCAGCGACGTCCCGCATTCTTTCCACGCTGGCCGTAACGCGAGTCCCCCGTAAAAATGCAGTCACATACATCCTCACTGCAAGGTCCCTTCCGCCTCTTCACCCGGTAGGCTGAGTCGTGCCACACTCGACTGGTAAGTCTCCTACCCCTGTGGCTCACTTTTTCGAGGACGCTCCACTGTTCAAGTGCCCCGACCAACAGGTGAGTACTCCTCCTGCACGACCGACTTCACACCACTACTACACGTAAGTTCTCAACCCTGTGCCTACCCCCGCACCGCTCCCGTCCGATACTACGCCGTTGCCAACTGCAGGAGGGGAAAAATCAATGAATCTTCCACTTAAGCGTGGTCAGGTGCATCCGAATCCTGCCCGCTGGCTAGCTCTGCAACCCAACACTGCCTCTCAACTTTCCTGTTTGTCCCGCACCGCCAAATCGACCAGGCTAGTCTCTCCCTCTATCTCTCTCTCTCTATGCGCGGCGCAACCGGCCTCATGCTACCCCCACCGATAGGGTGGGTAAGAACGAATACTATTATGCTAGAATATGGAAAAATGCATTTCTTACCTCCGGCGCAACTTCATTCCGATACTACGCAAAAGACTAACCTCCGCGACTGAGATCTATTTCCACCATTAGAGTCGCAGTAGGTCAGAACCTCTAAATCCAAACTTCTCTCGATCGATTCCACTTAGAGACGAGCGAGATAGATACCCCTGACTTCCCACTCTTTTTCCACCATAGCTCCACGCAGCATCTTCTTCGACTAACTCCTATTCCATTAATCTAACGCTAAAACTAACGTTACTAACATATTCGCCCTACTCTAAAACCCCCGAGTAGGTTCCTTCCCCGCCCGATTTCATCAAGAAATGGGCGGATTCTACCATTTCCTCCCCGCCATCTTTCTT